GTATTAGCATTAATATATTATGAAGATACAATGCAATTGCCTAAAATATTTTACCAGATTGTTAGAGGTTAAAACATAAAGCATTGTCAATTTTTTAAAATAAATATATATTATATTCTATTGATCAAATTCGAGTTTTTAAATTTTACAAACTGTCAGATTTATGGTTTAGTTTGTAGACCACATATTACCTTTATTTTCAGTGTTTTATATTAAATGTTTTATTCAACCATTTACAATATATATACAGTACAGGTACACGGTAGCACGAACTGTTGTCTATTTGATTATGTAAATATTAGTCAGTTTTAATTAACCTTAGTTGTAATAACCGCATATAATACACTAGCTGCTGCCATCTCGTGTCATGCAATTTCCTCTTTTGGTAGGAAATTGAATTAGGCTTGGCTAACCAGCGTTTCGTTTAATGTACTGTATAAACTGCTAACTCATGTTATTTAATCACGTATATTATATAGTACACAGGCGAATTGGTGACACATAGTACCTATATTGCCAACTAGGTTTTGAATGTATCTTATCACTTTTTCTCCTGGGGGGAGAGGGTTTAGATGATAACTATTTTTAAAAGATAATCATCTGTGGTCATATGTATATGTGTTGTTTTATAGTATATTTATATTCTACTTATAATATTATAAAAAAAGTGTTACATAATTATACTATATTTTTCATATTTTAAAGTTAAGTATTTTATATTAAGTGTAGTGTGAAATACAATGTATACTAGGGACTTAAGCTGATTATTTTTGTTAACTAAATTAGTTAGAGGTCATACCTATTCGGTCATATAAGTTACAAGTAAGATAAGTAAAATAAATTAAATAGAAAATATGTTTTTTTTATTTCTTTGCATACTAAGTAGTTAAATTAAATTATATTCTCTAATTTTTGAGTTTTGACTAAAATTTCAACTTGTATTTTCTTATATATATTTGAGAATGAACACATTTTGAAGAAAAAGTTGTATAGTAATTGTTCAGCATTTTTACTGGTAATAAATACTACTATAGAACCATTTTTAGAAATACACTGTTGTCGTCTAAACTGCAGTACAACTGGCTTTTTTCTACATGAAAATTTAAGTCTTTATGTATTGATTGGGTACCTTAATTTCAAAACAACTTAAGTTAAATAATTTGATTTGTTTTTGTCATAATACGTATATATTATTATTGATATAACTATAGTAGGTACTTACGTACCTTTATATAATGATTTATGTAATGATAACGATTATCATAATATTAATAATAATACTAAAATTGAGTTAATAAATCTTTAAACCATTTAAGAAGAAATTTATTTCTATCTGATATAATATATATTTATAAATACTTACTACCTACAGTATATTATGGCTTATAACTGCTGTTAATGTCGAAAAGCGTAACATTTCATATCCTATTCTGAGAACCCTGAATCATAATATACAGTGTATTAAATTCTAACATCAAGGGTAGATCTTCGTGTTGCAATTTGTGCGTGACCATTCCGGACAACCTCGTAATTGAATTTCGCACATCCCTACAACTGAGGGTGGACAATAACGTGTCGGGACGTTTTTCTAGGTAACTTAATCTCTCCATTCGTTTTCTCTTGAATTTGTGGTGTAATTGTTTTTGTATGGAAGGACTTGAGTAGAGAAACAAAAAGTGTAGTACTTTGAGAGACAACAAAAGTTGGACGTGCTAATAAAATTCGTTTGTAATAAGTTCATTGTTAAGAATAAAACTTTTCAATTCAAATTAAACATTACTATGTGATTGGCTCGTTTGTTTTATTGTTGAATGTTCTGAATAATTAATATTTTGACATCATACGGTTAGGGAAATACTTCGTCTGGGGTCCCTTGTGTGTGGTTTCTTCCGGTGGAAAATTGATCCTGTGCCCCCATCTTCGACTGTTTTTATACTGCCCGGGAATAGTGCCCGCCAGAATTTAAATTAGAAATTAATGTTGGAGAGCGAATAAAAACTATTCTAGGATTCTGTGTAACCTTTTATGTAGGTCATATTTATTAAGGGATGCAAAGTTGGAATGTACACGAAAGCGAGTAACGGGCACTTTATGTTATTTTATACGTTATGAATCTAAACCATTTACTTAATAGGTTGGGTCTTTAACATGTACCTATACACGTATAGCATAAAATATACATATAGTACTTATAGATAAAAGTATTTTATTGAGTTTACATTTCACTTTCTTAAATTATTAGTATTATTGAATAAATATTTTTTTTTAGCTTTAACTAAAATATATTATCTATTATAGGTTTACGAGTATTTTATTCGTGTTTATTTTTTCATATACCTAATTTGTTCGGCGATATTTTCATTATTATAATATTTTGGATGTTTAGTCGGTAGATTAATTATATTGCATTCGTCAGATTAAGGATTCGTTTACTTATTGAAATTATTATTATTTATACCAGTTTCGCATAATTTCGCTCGACTAAGAATTAAATTGAGAAAATTGCTCTACTGTAAGTATACTAAAAAACAATAAAATAACCAAAATCATTATATTTTGTTTTTATCTAATTCCAGCTTAAAATGGTTATAAAAAAAAATTTTGCGTAGGTATGTATACTCCAGGTTTTAATGTTGCTTTAAGAACAAAATATGATGGCTTTTTATTACTTTTTCAAGCTCTAGCTATTAAAATTTTAAAACTTTATTAGTTTCTGACTGCATAATAGCTAATACATTTTCATGATATTGACGAATTTCGTCAAAATTTGACTTCGGTCGCACTATAAATCAGCTAAAAATGAAAAACCATCTCATCAAAGTGGAAGATAAACAATTTTTAACTGTTATTAAGTGACAGACACCCAAAACAAATTAAAATTTAAAAAAACTATTACATTAATATAATATTAAATCAAAATTGTTTCAATTTGTTTATTAATTCAGCTATTTTAAAGTCATAGATTGGCTAATTTATATAATAGGAAATAATTAATTTATAGCTCGCTGTATACTTTAAACATTTTTTAAAAAATTTTATTGGATTTATGATAGCATGTATATAGGTATAATACTATAATGTAAATGCCATTATAGTTTCTATAATAGTCACAAACTAGTTACAATTGGTACAGCTTTTATACTGTTTGATTATGAATCAAGTATCATAATATTAGTTCAGTAATACATAGTCACGTAGATTTTATATTATCTGACTATTATTCCGTTACATAAAAGACTTCAGTATCTATATATATTAATAAAAATATAGGGTCTAGACTCAAGGCGACCGACCTATATTATATAAATGTCCAGTAGAAAAGGGAATGTTTTGTTCGGTGTGTGAGCCCTTATAATAATTATTATTACAATTAATTATGACTACTTTGGACCTAGTGGAAGGGAAGTGGAAATGTAGTAGTTGATGTTGCAATGACCCTTTATGTGCCAGATGGCGAATATTGTTTCGGGTGTAGCGAATAAGAGTGGGTGAAGGAGAGACCGGACCCTTATCCATATCCCCTTTTTGATTTTGACAAGGATTTTGCTGTCAAGCATGGTTAACGTAAGATCGGAATCCAGATTTATGTGCTGAGGGGAAACTTTTATATTATATATCCTTTTTTATTTGGTTACACTCAAAAAGAAATACTCAAGACAAAACTTAGTACCAATTTTACATTGAAGTTCATACCACATGGTAAAGTATCTATATAATTTTTATAAATATTTTATTCACTCGTATTGGGTGTGTGTAAATTACAAGTTCTATTATTTAAGTTTTATATTTAAATTATAAAATTGAACTTTCATCAATATTCGCATTTAAAATGATATAAAAATAAATAAATACTACTAAATATAGTAGTTTTAAATAATAGTCTCTAAACATACATTACAATACTACAATAGGTATTGAAGTAGGTATCTTGAAAAATTATAATTTCATATTGATTTTTTGTTTTTATTCAATTGACTAGTAATAATAACATTATTTTGCAATTCTTAACTTCAATTGTAGTTGAATTATTTTACTAATAATTCAATTCTGCTTAGAATTTTTCAGAACAAACATACCTATATCATAACATTCATAACATATAATATGTTTGTGAATATTTTTTAAATATATATATTATGCTGGACGTAGGTATCCGTATCTGTGTTTATTTATTGTTTTATTGTATATTGGGGTATTAGTTGTAAAATCATTACCTAGGTATTTTTTTGAATTAAAAAAAAACATATTTATTCTTTGGTTATTAATTAAGTATATAATACTATGTAGTAACTACAATTTAATGTAAGTAATATTATTATAATTATTTTGGTTCGACAATGTGTTATTATGGATAATTCAGCCTGTACTAATTTATTTCATTTGCATAATGTGATATGCTGGTAATCATTTCTGCGACTGAACAATAATATTGTACTCCCGTGAACGGCGACACTGACGGGCACTAGCCGACATTGCTTGCCAGACGCCAGTTGCTACTGCTTTTGGTAGTGGTTCTCGTGACCCGATCGCCGACTGTCCTGCTCCGTGTGCGCATTACTGTGTGAATTTTAAATTACAAAATACAATTTTTAATATATATTTGACATTTAATTATTTGCAAGTTATATTTCTTATCATATGTGTAAATAAATATTGTTTGGATTTTAATTATTCGTATTTTAAATTTATTTAATAGAATATGTTATTTGTACCGAGTGAATTATGAACATATTATACAATTGATACTCCTGTAGTTTAATTTGGTGTTTTTGAAAAACCACCGAAATCAGGTAAACATTTTATTGTTGGAGATTGATGTTTTGATTTATTGTCATCAATATAAATAGGTACTTTTTTATTTCCTTGTGTCAATTGGGAAGACAATTCCAAAGTTGCTTTGTAAAATTATAAATATATTAAATTAAATAAAATGTCCTATAGTTCCTTAAAAATTGGTTCTATTTAAAATTTGTTTGTTAATTCCTATTCTTTTGTTTCAGGAGTTACCATGAGAGAAAAGAAGAGTGGTGCTTTAAGCAAAGTTCAAAAAATTAAAAAACGCCTGAGCCATAGTTTTGGCCGACTGTGTAAGTACCTGCTAATTATTTTGTATCATTGTCTTGTTGCTTAAGTCTAGGCTAAAAGATATACATTATTGAAATTACAACTAATCGTTGTCATTTTAATTTATAACCTAATGTACCTACATTGGAATAGAGTATTGACCAATATCGATGTAATGACATTTGAATGGTTAAGTGGGGACGTTGATTGTTTTTAGTACCTACTTCGGTTACCTGTGCTGTGTTTGAACAGAGTTGTATTTCTATCTTAGTGGAATGCCTACGCGATCCGTCAGCCTACGGATTCTGCGAACTTCTGACTCGTTTATTTCTTAGCGTAAAATAAAATGGTAATAATATAATATCATATGCAGTACCTATGTAAAAATTAGACTTTAATTGTTTGTAATTTTTATTTTGAGTTTTTTACGGATTTAGTCTCTAGGTTGAATCTCGTGTTATAACACCTAAAAATATACTTTTGCTACTAAAAATGATTTTCAAATTTTAATTTTTTTCAAAATAAAACAAGATATGATGTAACTTTTTTTCACCTACAGGTAATATTCCTTTAATTTTCAATGTTATTTGAATTCGGTCGTATTAATATTTCGTTTCCTGCCATTTTTCACGTTACTGGTATGTATGTGCAAAATTCATTTGGTAGCATTTCTTTGTTTCATATGACATTATTCATATTTATACAATATTGAATTCGAATAAATCGTGGTTATTTAAAATTAATTTGTCTTTCATTGTTTCCAATTTCAAACTTTTTTTAAGAATGTTCCAAACTATATCTGAATATATTAATTTAAATACATTACCAACAGATTAAATTTAATTAAAATTGTGAATATTAGAAAAAAATAGAATTTTACTTACCTATTTTCTATATCATTACATTTGTTCTTATGAATCGTCTGTAGTTCGTTTACTATACGTCTATACTGTTCTATATTTTGTAGTATCATAGTATAAAGTATTATGTTTTCTATTGTATTTGGTTTTAAAATACGTCATAGTAAAGCGTAGGTTTGTAATGTTTACTGTACAATCCAGTTTTTTTTTCTTTTGTATCATATGATAAAATTTGTTATACAACACCGGTCTACAATAATGATATGGTTAAGCAAGTGGGCAATGGAATACCTAGTAACGTATTACAGTAATGCTCCAGTATTGCGCCTCTAAACACTGGTGTATTATGTATTAATTAAATCCTATGATAAATAAGTTAGTTATTACTACGTAACTTGTGGTCAGATGCCATTCTCATGCATCTCTGTTCATGAAGTTTTAACTACTATAATTATGATTTATATATTAGATTATTATAAAGTTCAAGAATTATAAACTGTTAAGTTGTATTTAGTTATAACTTAAAAGCAAATTAGAGTAGGTATTCAACCATTATTGGCGATCATTTTATATTTTGAAATTGGTCAGCAAACAAATTATGTAAATACTTATAGATTTACCTTTGTGTTCAAAATAATGAATTAAAATGTTATGGTTACTTTCTTATATAGTCTTATAGAATTAATGAAGTATTACAGCGATTAATTGTCTACAGTTATGTTTTTAATTAATTCGAGGGTCTATTAATCCTCCATGTAGTTGGAAAAGACTACAAACTCCATAGGGGGTATTTTCCATTAGTAGGATTAAGGTTACTTCGTCCTCAGAGTTCCACCAAAATTTTACGTTTTAGAAATAAAATAAAATTTATATTTTTATTAGAAGTGATATCGTTTTAAGTAAAATAATAATAATAATAATAGAAATAATACAATCTTCATAATTTTTTTGTTATGACTCATTTAAAAATAGATTTCCTTATTGATCACGATGTAGTAATATATATACACACACACCCATGAACAATCATTACAGAATATTGTTAAAACGAATTGCATTGAATAGGGTCATCATTATCTCTTTGATCTTCTGATTTACCTCAACAATTATATATGTATGTAAATATTAATTACAACTTAAGTTTCAACAAAAATAGTGTGGTATATTTAGTAATTTTGTTATTACACTGTTATAAACTTAAATATATTTATTTAAATATTTATCTAAATGAAAATGTTATACCATAAGTTACTATCACTAAACTATATTATAGTTTTCGCTGAAACTAAATAAATATTTTATCGGTATGACAATTATTGCCTCGAGGCCCACTCGTCTCATGTTTGCCTTGGCTGTTATGCGTCTGACTGATGATTCATTTTCGTGCATAGGCAGGGGTGCTAAACATGTTCAAATGTGCAATAGTATATGTACATTTTACATTCACGATACATTAAATAATGAGTTAAATTGTATAGCTTAAATTAATGTTTGGATTCTAATTTATGATATGTATTCAAGTTTAAATAAACCTAATAACTTTAATTGGTAACTTGGTCATACATTTGTAATTTTTTTTTTAAATAAACCTATTAAATTAGCATTATTTTTAGTAAAACGTTCTAATTTTCAAGTTAATAAGTAGGTTCCTAATCATGATAAAATTAAGACTTGTTGCATGTACTAGATGTTGAGTAGTCTTACTCAAATAACTATTCCCTAATATTTATATCAAGTCATCGTATTTGAGATAACAACGTTTCCAAGTGGAAGTTAGATCCAAGCTTACTGTTATTTTATCAAAAATCTAATGTATTTTTGGATATTAACTATCCTATAAAATCACTGTTCTGAAATGATCATGATTCTGTTGTTGAAATAATGTTAAACGAAATATATATTCAGTATTATAAATCGAGTTGTATACGTTTGTCGCTTTTACAAAATATAAGCCTGCTTGTTGAAACATAAGAGTTGGGCGAAAAGACGAATAAGAGTAAATATAAAAATCGGTAGTTATACGTGCATTGAGTTCCGGAAAACAGTTTAAAGCCTAATTGTCATTCGACGCGCATGCTTATTGTACCCCACGCATGTGTAGATCATAAAAACCAAACCAATAATACGCCGCGAGTCCCAATGTTCACACCACATTAAATCACGTACCTACTATTTTCTTAAATAAAACTTATATCTTTTGCCTTATGTTATTTATTCTTTGTGTTTATTATCTAATCAAAAATCAATAGTAAGATGATTTTTTTATATTGTGGGCTATGGAAAACAATTGTCAACCATTATAAATATTTAGTATAGGCCACAATATAAAATTTATTTAATAAAATATGAAATATACATAGTACATATTAGTATGTATATTGTATAGTATATTATTTTATTTAAAAAAAAAGTAAATAGAACTATTATATTTGTTTCTTTAAACCGTGTTTTCAACTGTCAAGTATGCTGACTTTAAAAGCTTTGGTATTTGTCTTTGAATAAGTTAACCCCGTTTGCCGAGGGAGATAAACTTGTCATTTAAGATTATTCAGAGGGGATGTATTCGTCCTAAAAGTCTTATGTGAATTCGTTTGCTCTTAACACCTGTTTCTTTGGTTATTTGATATATATTATAGAAATATTTTATTGTAGGTAGGTATTCAATTACTATACAACTGTGTATCTATATGAATACTTGAATTATAAATTAAATATTATTTAGATTTTTAGTATAAAATATTTTGGATACATTAATGGTTAATTAGTAATGTTCGAAGTATAAATGTTAATTAGTGTCCATGCATAAATACGTTTATCTTTATATTTTAGTGTGTAAGTAGGTACACCATTTCGGCTTTGATTTTTATAACATAAACAACAAAAAGATTACACGAATCAAATTTATTTTTGGATATTCATACATAATATTGTGTGGATTTTGAAGCTTATAATTTACGAGTAATGACATTAATTCTGGTTTTAAGAACATTACAAAATATTTAACTTTTTTCTTGTTTTATCGTTTTAAAGATTTAAATTGATCTACAAAAAATCCTTAGTGTGCCATAATCCTATAACTTATTTTACCTTAATATATTTATCTTCATATTTTGCTAAATACATATAAGCTATACAGTAATAGCCTACAGGTAATACAATAAAAAGTCTTATAGTAAATGATTTTTTTCGAATGTTGTTTGCTCTTAATTATAGTTATTATAGTTGCATATAGGTAAAAATTAACAATGTTTAAGGTGCACTCAGTAAAATTGATGATAGATCATAAAGAAAAAATAGCTCACGTTTTTACCCAACAATTTCAAGTAAAATATATGTAATTTTTATTTCAAAAAAATTGTAAAATTCTTTGACTTTCATGCTTTCTGTCAAGGCGTTTTATTTTTATTGAAATAGCTTATTTTATTTTATACAAATCATTTCTTTTAGACTTATCTAAATTAGTAAGTATTACCAAATTCAGTGAAGTTGTTTGAAAGCCTCAATTTAAAAAAAAAATATCAGAATCATTGGTATAGGCATAAGCCATTTGTAAAGGTGAGATTATCGGGTGACATATTTGCAGAACATCTATCGTATATGAGCTTTTGTTGTTGTGTTCAATGATTTATGGTGAATTTCTACAGATTTGAAAATAACAATAGGGCCATAGGGGCATAAGTAAATACAAGGATTATCCTTTTGCACTGTTCGTTACAAACGTCTATATATCAAACAAGGATATTCTTAGCCATGTCCTATATTTTGAATCAATAACTATATCATATATTCCTACATTTTATTGTACTGCGATATTGACCTTAATCAGCTATAAACAATTTATTATGTTTTAAAATTAGCTGCCATATTTATTTATTTTTTGTGTCTGCATCCATCTTATGGGGCAATACATATGCTTCGAATTTAAACTTTGAGGCGGGTTTTTGTTAATCAACTGAATAACTGAATCTATAGCATAGGTACATTTAAAAATAATTGGAAAAAATGTAGGAAGACTTGAAATTTTCACCAAATATAAATAATATTAGCATTTAATAGATATAAAATACTTTTCAAAATATTTTTAACGCTTTTTGTGATTTTTATAAGAATTTTAAAATCTCAACTTTTTTTTAAAAATTTGATTTAAAGATTTAAAGATGAAT